GCGAGAGAATCGAGCCTTACGGCGAAAGCAGCAGCCTCGGTGTCTCGGCCCACACCCAAGCATCAGGCTACGGCCAGCATTCATTGCCGCCGACAAATAGTTGGGGGCTGTCCCAGCCCACATGGGCGAATTCTGGGCCAACCTACTCGGCAGAGACAGCGCGCGGACCACTCCATGCTTTGGCCATATCACTAGGGCACGGTAGCCTCGCACATCCTGCGATCCATCCACTTGGCCCAGTGCACACTGCGGCCGTCCAGACTCATCCTGGCCCAAGCAACGCGACCGCTGTATCATCACAACAGTACGGTCAGAGCAATCCGACTGTCTCACCACCATCGCAAGCGTCGTTGTTTCCGCTGGGCTCTCACCTCTACTACGGTTCGGCCAATCCGGCGGCAACGCATACGCACCATGGCCAAACCCACGGCGCTCATATGGCGTCAACCAGCTCGGTCGTCCCGGCCGAGCCCCTTGTTCAAGTGGCCCAGCAGATAAGGCTACGGAACGATGTGCGACAGGCCCCGCGGCCGTATGCGGCCTGGCAGGAGGCGCCACCTCAAGGGCTCCGATTCGAAGACGTTCGGCGGATGATCGAAGACGGCCTAGCCTAGAGGCGGCCAGATGCGCCAAGATATACGAGGCCGTACTCGCCAGAAATCGACCGGACCCCTCTTCCTCGGAACTATCGATTGCCAGAATTCATGCTATTCTCCGAGGATGGGCAGACCTCCTCCATTGAACACATAGGCCGTTTCACGGCCCAGTGTGGAGAGGCCGATTCGGACGCCCAGAAGCTCCGTTTATTTGTCCATTCTTTGACCGGCACGGCGTTTTCATGGTTCATAAACCTTCCGCCGAACTCAGTAAGGGATTGGTCTGATATGGAAAGGATATTCCACGAACATTTCTATCAAACCAACCGAGCTGGCAAGGATGAGCCAGGCGTCAGACGAATCACCTCGCGACTACCTACAACGATTCAAAATATGTAGGAACTGATGCCGCACGAACCTACCAGAGAGGGAGTTTGTCAAGATGGCCGAAGAGGGTTTGGAATTCGAGTACCGGAAGAAATTCCAGGGAATCGAATTCCGAGACATGCATGACTTGACTAACAAGGTGGACAGATATGCGTCCTTGTTAAAAGAGGAGATGCAGAAGAAGACGGCCTCAAAAGGGACCTACTACAGGAATCCCATCGTCAGCTACGCCGAAGCAGACGGCTCCGTAGAGGCC